AAGCAACTTACTAGAAGCTTACACAGCAGCTTGCAGTAGCAGCTTACAAGCAACTTAGACAGCAGCTTACAGTAGCAGCTTATACGGCAGTTTGCAATAGCAGCTTACACAACAACTTTCTTTCTTCTATAAATAGAGGAGATTTCAGTTCATTATGTACGCGAATTTGAAGTTGAATAATAAATCTCTCTCTCTCTACTTCTCTTCGGTTTCTTTACTTTCAAGTCTTTATTTTATAACAAAGACCTCAATATCCATGGGAATTTTTTAACATCCTCCTGCAATGCATATCATTAATAATATTATGGTCAAAAGGTTAGAATTCCTCTTTTTGCTCCACAAGTTGACTAGTATCCACAATAATTTATTGTTGGAAATTAGACGTTTCAACCTTTTTATTCAATTGAGCCCGCAACTCGTGGATATCTGAGTCAAATTGGTCTATCTTTTGCCTGAGCTCAGTTCATCGTTTTATCAACTGTTCTTCCATATATATTTGAAAGACTATTGCGGAGAAATTCAAGAAATTTTATTATATTAACTTGTTCCTCTACCCAAGATTGGCTCACTACTTTATCTGCTTCTTCAACTTTTACCTCTTGTAGGAACTCACACTCTTCGCCGAATTGAGGTTCTTCTTGAAAATTGGCCATTAATTCTTCCATCCTAGCCTATAGCCTTGATTTCTAAGGCAGTCTTTTTTTGGATTTCATCATTTTGCTCAATTATTTGCCTCACCATGTCCATAATACAAGCAGTGTGTTCCACACCCTCCACTTCAATGCTCCTATCAAACTCACAAACATTATTAGAAAAATTATAATAATAGCTCGGAGAAAGATAATAAAAATTAGGACAATCATCCCAATGGCCACCTTGATCACCACACACATTACAAATATTCCACTCATAAGATTGAGATGGTACACCTAACTCGCTCCCGGAAATATTTATACAATTTTGTAGAGCAAACGCACATGTAGGTATATGTGGTCGTACAAGTAATATAGGATTGTAAGTCCATATATCGTACCCACATGGACTTCTGATTAACTATTTACAAAAATTAAACTAAGATAATTAATCTATTCAAGCGATTTTCTAAAGTGTGAATATTTAACTAAAACTAATCTAGAGTAGCAAACTAAGCGATTATAGAATCAAGTCGACACTCTTAAGACAAATTTAATGGAGAAAATATTCCAGATCTATGGGTTAGCTAAAGATCCCATTGAGTCTTCCATTTAAATTATCTAATTAATTTATCTGGTTTATTAATTTACATTCCTAATATTACTCGTAATATTCTCCCGAAGTACTACTCACCTATTCAAGCTAACCTAATGCCTATATTCCTATGAAATTATGATTAAGAAGAATGCATTAATAATTCCCATATAACAACCAAGCAAGGCGATTAGGTATATTCCAGTCCTAACCACAAATCCGTTTTCGATACTCAGGTTCAAGATCTCGCTCTACTCAATCTTATATGCAATCCAGAATTCCCTCCCCCGAGTTCAATCCTAGATTCGTAGATAGTATTCAATTGGTGATCAAGCAATTAAATAATTAAATACAAGATTGTATAAATAAACCAATAGAATGAAATAACAAGAACAATTCAAGTTTCAAACTACAACATTCATGAAGCACCCCACAACTCTAAAACTAATAAACTATGAAAGTAAAGGAAGAGAAGAGAAGAAAAACTAGTTGGAAGTCTCCTCCAAATGTGGTTTGTGTTTCCTCACGTGAATTAGGACCCCTTTTATACGAGTTGGGACCGTATACGGTCTATTAGATATTGCCCTAATTTTCTTATCATATTTGGTTTTCATATTTCTTGAAGGAAATGACAACAGATTTACCATAACTGAGTTTTTGTTTTGTAGAAGGAAATTATAATTCTTCCATATTTGATTAGTTCTTTTTCTTGTAGGAAAATGTTTGGACTTCTATAAATTGAAGATCATTCATTCTCATTCATTAGCATCCATAATGTAGCCATATGGGGTTTGAGAGTCGTGTTTAGGAGGAGAACTTTACGGGACAAGTGTTAGTGTATCACTTGTGTTTGCCTTTTCGTGAGGTTGTTCTCTCGATATTTTGTACTCTCTTTTATACAATGGATTGCTCATATCCGTCGCAGATGTATGTCAATTGACCGAACAACGTTAAATGTTTGTGTCTCTTTTGGTAGATTTCTTTTTGTTGTGTGATTTATCGTCGTTCAAGGTTTGCTTTTCTAGCTTCCGCATGACACATGTTTTTCAGTCCTAACAAGTGGTATCAAAGCGAAGTTCAAGACATGTTCATCTTGGCGGGTTCAATTCTAACCGCAACATATTTGATGATAATCATGATTTTTGTCTGAGAAATTTGACCGATGTGCTACGCACGTTGAGATAAATTTTGTGGTGTAGATTTGGAGATGCAACCTGTTGAAGGCTATGTGAAGAGGGTGGATCAAGTTTATTTTGTCAGAAAATTCAGGCCAAGGGGGAGAATTGTTAGGTGTTGTCCTGATTTTCTTACCATATTTGGTTTTCATATCTCTTGAAGGAAATGACAACATATTTACCATAATTGAGTTTTCCTTTTTGTAGAAGAAAATTATGATTCTTCCATATTTGGCTAGTTCTTTTTCTTGTAGGAAAATGTTTGGATTCTATAAATTGAAGATCATTTATTCTGATTTAATAGCATCCACAATGTAGCCATATTGGGTTTGAGAGTCATATTTAGGGGGAGATCTTTACGAGACAAGTGTTAGTGTGTCACTTGTGTTTGCCTCTTCATAATGTTGTTCTCTCGATATTTTGTACTCTCTTTTATATAGTGGATTGCTTATCTCCGCCGTAAACATAGGTCAATTGACTGAACCATGTTAAATGCTTGTGTTTCTTTTGGTAGATTTCTCTTTGTTGTATGATTTATCATCGTTCAAGATTTATTTTTCTTGTTTCTGCATGACACCTGATTATTTCAATCCTAACAGGATCGAAATAACCTTATTATGGGCGAAATAGAAAAAATCTCGCAACGCAGGGTCCAAGCCAACGCGTCAGTTGAAATAACCTCGTTTTAGGCAAAATAAAAAAAAAATCTGCAATGCAGGGTCCAGGCGACGCGCTGGCCTAGCGCCGGAGGCAGGAGCGAATTGCAATTTGCTTGCTTTGAACTGTATTTCCTTATTTTTTTTTGTCTTCCACTTGGGAGACAAACACCAAAGGTATCCCCTTGTCTCCCTCCTCCTAATTGTTTTATTTTGCTTTCTTTTACTTCCTTATTTTATTCAGTTTTGCTCCAAATATTTTTATTTTCACATCATTTTATTTTTACACAGTAAAAATATAATATGAAGCATACAGTAATATAATTAATACTCAAAAATAAATTACTAAAATGTGAGACAATAATGGTTACATATATTCATTTTTGACCAAACATCATTAATACTTAATCTTTGTTATATTCGTGGTATTCGGGTCATAACGCGCATATCTCGACTATTTTTACGGCTTACTTTTTACTTTTCACCCCACAATTACTACATAACTTTGTACCCCAAGACTTTAATAGATTGTTAATTTATATAACAAGTTGATTAAGCGAGTAGCAGTGGCGGAGCCACATTGAAGCAATGGGTGTCAAGCGACACTTCTTCACCGGAAAATTACACTATTTTGCTAGATAACTTTTTTTATTTTATGTATATTTACTATACGTTGACTCCCCTTCACTTTTCGATATATCTAATTATTTATATTATGACACCCCTTGATGAAAATTCTGAATTCGCCACTGACGACTAGGACGGTGGTTCCCAACATGAAGGCAACGCCAATGGATGTGGGGTTTATCTTATTTACAAAGCGATGTTGTGAATATTGAAAAATGTCCTAGTATAATTTTTATTCCTTCCGAAATTTGAACCAAATATCACGATGTTCAACTTATTTAATTGATCACAAGTTACACCTTTGACTATAACTTTTTTCTTTGGCAGAATACATTTACGGATACTTAAGCTTGTCCAATATTATCACTTAGCTACCTCAGATGAGACATGTACCTATTAGATACTTTAACTTCACTTAATATGTGTCTATTAAACATAAAAAAATAATAGTACAACAAATATGGTATGTGCATTTCACACGCGTTGACATGGCAGAACTTCACGAATAAAAAGAGGCCACATGACTTTTTGACTTAAGTTAATNCCCCCTTCTCTTTCTTGTACAAACAATACTGCAACTATATATTATCTCAGTTTTTAACTCATGTGGCACTTTTTCCATTTTAGAATATTTTTAAAAGGACGACAATAGTTCATTATATATCATACTAGATGAGTGGTACCCGTGCATAGCACGAGGCCCATGGACTTGACCTTTTGCTTGCCTGTGAACATAAATCTATTTTGTGAACATAAATATATTTTGCAGTAAGTTTTCTAAACATGTCGTGATTAGGAGAGGTAAAATGGTTCAAAGAAAATAGTTAATCGCCCATATTATCCACTAAAAAAATAGGTTGAATAATGAACTTTTTAAAAACGGATCAAATATGAATAAGAACCATATTATCCATTTAGAAAATGAATAACCAATGAGTAACCATTGGGTCTAACTTTTAGATTTGTAAAAGACTCAAATTGGGGGTTTCTCAAGTTAGAGACTAAAAATTACCCATATTATCTATGACTTCTTTGTATATGATCACTTTTGGATCGGGTCGAATAATTGATCCGTATTATCAATTATGACTCCGTATTACTTTTGGGTAACCCATATTATCCGTCGGTTAACCCGTTTTTTATCCGTATTAAATATGGGTCGGGTCGAATAATTGATCCGTTTTCGACTCGAACCATATCCGACCCGATCCGCCCGTTTGCCCCTCCTAGCCGTGATTCATAGTAACATTAGTACAATACATAGACAACGGTAGGATGAACCTTTACTGTCAAATTTAGATTGCAAACTCATAAGTTTAACTTAGAAGGCCCAATAACCAAATACTGTCAAAGTGATTTTGCACCATCACATGGTGCCAAAAAAGAAATGAATAAAATCAATATACTATCAATATGAATACATCTTCGCCAATTACCCTTCTGCCTATTGGCTCAAAGAATGAAACAGATGTTACATGAAGTGTCTCCCATGATGCCATCTCAAAATGAAGTTTAAGTTTGGCACTTAGACAATGTTTTGTCACCTCCTCATATATTAAGTTGCAATCACAGACTTGCATAAATACCAAACTTCGCACATAGCGCTTGGCCTGCTGCATAGCAATAGGTCTTTCATGATCTCGTCATCAAGCTAGTACTATCCCATCCTCTATTTTGGACTTGGATTGACTATATTTTGGGAAGCCCATATCAACTTTTTCTCATCCAGATACACTTAGAAAATGAAGAACAACATTATGAACTTCATCTAACAGTCATACTAACTGAAAAACAGAAACAACAAAGAAAGGAACTTGAAAAATAGTGAAGAGTTGGATGACCAGACGCTTACACATGTAAATAAGGAGATTTCTCAGTTCATCTGTGCAAAGAACTTGGCTTCTTCGACATGACCATTTGGTATAAAAGTGACCAACAGACATAAATTGGCGTTGAGGTCCGTTAATCAAGCATGTAGTAGTTTGGAAGAATGCACAGTTCTTCGTTCTTTATTAATTAAATTCCACCATAATTTTCTAATGTTGTGAATCATATTATTGACTCCGTTAAATGGATAAATAGAAAAATTTGGCAACAAAGGGATTGCATCGTATTATTGCCTTAGATAGTGATTGTATACTTCCATCAGATTTTTAACAAATCAACATCTAGCACTTCATAGCGGCTTTCATGAAAAAGGCAAGTGGATTTAAGGATAGTAGAATTAAGATGAGTCATGTCACAAACCAAGCTTTCTTTAACCTCCAACCTCATTCAAGATTCTACTCCTTGGCAAGATACACATACTTCTATACCTCATACTTGAGATTATTTGCATCATCCAGAATTCTCCAACTATATGCAGAGTAATTTTTCAACACTATTTCATGGAAAAACTCAATCAATTACTTGCTACCAAACTCTAATTTACCATAATATTTCCGTGGTTATATTAATCACATAAATATATTGACCACTCAAAGAAGCAAAAAGAACCATGACATTTCTACCTTTTTACATACCATGTATATGGAGGTTGATGGCTTGCATTAGATAACATCTTGATACTATAGCATAAAACCACCGGTACCAAAGATCACTGGTTAAAAATCTGCTTGTTAGAGAAAATATATTAAGCACCACTACATTGGAAACAACAGAGTAGCCTTTTGTATAAAGTTGTAAGTATCTATGTAGATTTATACTTTGGCTATCAAAAGGAATATTTGTAAGTGAGTATTTTAATTGAATCATATTAGAGAGGGCAAACTACTTATTACACAAGGCAAATATTACTACACAAGATAAACATTACTGGAGAAAAATAAGAGTAAAACAGAATAAAACCACATTACATGGAGGATTTATCCCAAAATAATTCTCCATTATCTGTTTGCTTTTCTTATATACTCACCTCTTAAGGCCGTTTAAGGTCCTCTAATGATGAGTTAGGAGATAGAAGCTAGCACATAAACGTTACACCTACATTCGGTAAAGAATAACTTAGATCAATTGAAGTGTCTGCTATTCTGACAGGCTACAGTTCAAACATGTTATTACTTGCAAGTGCAAATATAATACGTTATGGAGAAGATTGCTCCAACTAATGGCAAGACCAAAACACTAATGAGGCACAGAGAGATACTTATTGATAAGAATGTCAAAACTAAATAACAAAGGGTAAGTAATAGCAGAATTACCCAGGTAATTTTCAGTTTCAAGTTTTCCAATATTCATTTTCTTGAAATGCCAATTGGCGTCTATTGACAAAACTATGTTTTAAAAGTGGCATAATCATGATCATGCAATGTTTTCTTGCATGACGAAAACTCATCTACAATGTTAATGATTCATTCCCACAGAAAATAATATTTTACTAACTTCAAACTGTCTGACAAGTCAAATTGAGACTTCGGTTTCTTCATATGCTTTTCACTGGGATGAAGTATTTACCTGGACTCCTTAAACGATTTACTACAGTCCTTCATTTTTTAGAATATTATAAAGGATAAATATCTAATCATAGACTAATACATTTATGTACCCCTCAACCTAATCACCTTTTGCTTTTGGAAAGCTATCAGTCAGTCAAACTTGTCGACAATAAAGGAGATTCTTTATTTACGTAACTCTTTAACATGAAAACTCAAAATACTCAATATCAGAAATATATGTAATACATAATTATCCTAGAAGAAAAATTACATTGAAAATGGAAAAGAGAAGATCGTTTTATCACCCAAACATCAAAAAAGTTATTTTTTCCAACACAGTTCTCTCAAGCTTCATTTATATTTTCATGCAACCATTTTGTCATGAATAGATCCCAATGTTCCAGAAACCAATAGGAATCATTCACTACTTTTATATGCTATAAATATCGAAATTGCAGTAAATGAAATATCATGATCATTAATATCAAAATTAAATTGACCGAAGAACTCTTATAGTATATTAAGAAAGCAAAAACCGCATTCTCTTACCTCTTAATATGAGCCGTCCGCAGTTCACTATCAAGTAGACCATGCATCTGAATGACAACAACACATAATATTATTTCGGTGCTGCATAAACCACCAGGGAGTCGATGAGTCCATCTTCACAAACATATACTAAAACACCCTTGTTCTAGAAGCCACATATTATCAAGAAAAACCAATACCAAACAAAAACATATTCTATTTATACAATGAAAAAAGAGGCAAGCAAGGAGTTTAAAAATATGACAAGTACTGCATTTAAACATCGTTAGGTTGACCAACACATTAGCAGGTTTGTCTGCATACAAATTTATATTGACCTAGATATCAAATGAAAAGAAGAAAAAATCAATGAAATTAATCGTGTATACCGTAGCATTTAAATAGATACTCCAAATAAACAGATAAATGAAAGGTATAATGAGAGCTTTTAGCTAATGATGAATTCCCAACGAAACAACATTACTAATTGCAGCACAGTCAAAATGCAGGGCACCATTAAAGAATTATTCATATCCATTTTCTTTCATGAAAAGGCTTCATAAGATACAAATGAATTTGCAAATAAATCTCAGTAAAGAATATGCTGCAGATTTCACTACCATACCTACAATTGCAGAAACATCTTTCAAATGATCTATATGTGTGCGATCAAAAGTTCTGGCCTTGCAAAAGGATAGATACTTGTGATAAATTCACCGACAAAAAAAGAAATGGTAGAAAGTTATTCAGTTGTTTTAGTTATATAGTCGAACACCTTAAGTGCAGCAAAGTTCTTCCCTTTTAATCAACATTTGCTGTTGAGATGGAAATTTAATATGGTTAGTGCTAGAAGCGCTCAAACAATAATGACCACATGCATACACAGAATCAACCCAAAAATTTTTTAAAAAGAAGGAAAAACTAGACACGTATAGTTGTAGACAAAAAAATACTTATACATTGCATTAAAAAGAAAAATAAAGCACAAATACAAACCTAACTTTATAGGCAAATGAAGATTCTAAATCAATAGTTTAATTAGAATCAACAGTTTACCTTCTCACCCGGAAAGAATAGAGTAAAATTTAGCAGAACTCAGAAATATTCTCTTCATTCCGTCCTTAGGCTTTTGGATTTTATCTGGCAGATCAGGATGCATGTGTATTTTGAAGAGCGTATCCATAGCTGCATGTACACAGAAAATTCGGAGGATAATTTTTACAATACAAACGAACAAAATAGAATACCAGAAAAAGATTGACAAAAAAAAATAAATGAGAAAGGACAAACAAAGGAAAATACCAAACACAAAATACTCACCAGAATACTATTAACTCCAATGGAGAAGATAGAGAAAGAGATAGGTAGGAGGAAATTAAAAATAGAGAAAGTGTGAAATCTTTTAGAATTAAAGGTGACCGATCAGTTGCATTTGACAATTGACAAGAAATATGCAAAAGTTGAAAACAGGTGCATGATTATAAAAATCCAACTACTAAAAAGCAACAACAATTGAAAAAAATATCCAATCAATTAGGTAAAAGAAGACCCAGAAATCAACAGAAAAATTAAAACCAAAATTCACCTACAAAAGCTAAATCCAAAGTGGAGAATGAAGAAGGCATGGATAAGCATGACCTTAAGTGAAGAGAAAGGGAACAATACTAAGAATAAAAAAGAAATAGGCTTGATGAAGAAGATGAAATGGCCAAAATCAGTGAAGAGCGTGAAAAGCAGTGGAGTGGAATCCAGTTGTACCCCACAAATAAAATACGTGTCTGTAATAAAAGGGTTGAACCAAAGTACTATAAAGCCCATAAAAAGTTTTTTAAAGGGTAATTATGCCTCATATATACATATTTTAACTATCGACATTCTCCCCAAATACCTCTTACACACTTTTTAAATACGAGAATAATATTATACACCAAAACTTTTAAAGGTGTGTCAATTACACACCACTTTGATGTTTGACCACATCTGCTCAAAAATTGCTCTTACACACGCCAATTAGCATTTGACATGTGTCAAATCGAGGGGAAAAAAAGAAAAACTAAAAAAAAAAAACTCTTCAACCCCTCTCCCCAAACCCCCTCTTTTCATCTTCTCAACCAAAAAAAAAAAAATACAGAAAAGAACCCCCCTCTTCATCTTCCTAACCCCGTCATCTTTTCCATCACCACCATACTATCACCAACTCTTCCACTATAAGAACCTTCTTCTATAACTATAGATTTAATTCTTTGCCGATTTTTAACAACATCCATCATAAAATCCTTATACAAATTTCAAATTTAAGCTTAAACCAAAGTTTCAAACTTGTTAATGGTGTTTTTTGAATTTGATCAAAATTAATTACCTAAGTAAAGTTTTACTCATCAATAATCACGAATTCAAACTAATTTTTTAGGTAGTGGAATTACCAAAATCAACAAGACCCGATTAAATTTTTAAGCTTTTTTAAAAAGTCAATAATGGTGATTTTTACAATACTCAATAGCTCCCATGTTCTTCTTTTTTTTTTCTTTTCTTCTTAGTCATGGGGTTGGAGAGACGAAATATGAGGTGGTAGATAAAATTAGGATGGGGATTGGGGACGAAGACGAACCGGGGGAGGGGGGAACACTGGGTTTTGGGGTTGGGGAAGAAGACATGGGTTATATTTTTTTTTCTTTAATTTAAAGGAAATAGTTAAAAAAGGGGAAATTTAAAAAGAAAAATTAAGTTTAGGTGAATTTTTTAGTTTTCACGCGCCTCTTTTATGTGTAATACACGCATGTGACACATGACAAAAGAGGTGTGTAATTTACACACTTTTAAAATTTTTGATGTGTAATACTATTCCCGTGATTAACAAGTATGTAAGAGAGATTTGAGTACAATGTCGATGGGCAAAGTATGTATTTTGTCAAAATTTGAGACTACAAAATATATAATTTTGTCTTTTTCATTTTAAAAGTGAAATCTCATATAATTAAAAGATATATAAAATGATATCACCACACAATAAAAGGAACTAAAGGTTGTTTTTACTTCATCAATTGGGGCGGTGTTAAATAGTCCCACACTTGATAAAGTTGTACTATGAAGAAGACTTGCCCGAGTCCTCTTGACCACAAGAAATTGAGGACAAAAGTACTTTAAAGTCTTCAAGTCTTGAAATTTTAAGGCCATCATCTTTTTAGACAATGTATTCTTCAACTACAGTTCTAGATGTATATATACGTGTCTGGGCCAAATAGTAATCTATAAGAAAACAATTATTTAATACACACCTTTCAATTCCTAGTAAGACTTTGCACATCATGAAGGTGCTAGCAAAAGCATTATGTTTTTTCTTGTTTTTCACTTTCAGAATCACCAAGTGTGATGACCCAAAAGTTCATCACTTATTTTAGAATTAAATTATGTGATTCGAGGCCTTAAACCTCTTTTTTCCTCACCTCGATTTGCGTGCACAGTCCGGATGTATATCCGGAACGCTTTTATGTGGGAATTTGATGAAAATGTTAATTTGGCCTTTAAAATGTAATTTAAGTTGACTTCGGTCAATATTTTAGGTAAACGGACCCGGACCCGTAATTTGACGGTCCTAGAGGGTCCGTAGAAAGATATGGGACTTGGACTTATGCTCGGAATTGAATTCCGAGGTCCAAAACCTGAGAAATGAATTTTTGAAGAAAATTATTTAACTAAAATTTTAAGAGTTTTTGGAAATTTAAATGTATTTAAATTGATGGTATCGGGCCCGTATCTTGGTTTCGGAGCCCGATACAGGTCTTACATGGTGTTTAGATTGAGCCTGTAAAATTTGGTAAGAAATGGACTTGAAATAACGTGAATCAGACCCTCGGTTGTGAAATTTGAAACTTAAGTGTTCTTGAGATTTTTCTTTGATTTTGATGTTGAATTCGTTGTTAAAGCTGTTAATTTGGCGATTTGATCGCATGAGTAAGTCCATATGATGTTTTTGAGTTAGTATACATGTTTGGTTTGGAGCCCCGAGGGCTCGGGTGAGTTTCGGGATGCTTTTACACTTAGAAAAGTTGCAGGTTTTGCTGTCTCAGGTGCACAGAGATTTTGCTCTTCGCGTTCGCGTGGCTTCACTCGCGAACACGTAAGGCAAGTTTCCTCAGGTGCCAGTTTGTTCTTCACAACGCGGAGCTTACGACGCGAACGCGAAGCTGTGAGGGGAGTTACCCTTCGCGAATGCGTTCCGACTCTCGTGAACGTGTAGGGTTTGTGGGCCTGGGGAGGGATTTCAAATTGTTTTACGCGAATGCGGCCACTTGACCGCGAACGCGAAGGCTCGAGGAGCTGAAACTCCGCGAATGCGAGCCCTTGAACGCGAATGCGATGGCCATATGGGCCTGACCCGTCGCGAACGCGAAAGGCCTATCACGAACGCGATGAAGGCCTACCCAATTATTTTAAAACAAAACCATAACCGGGCAGAACCTATTTTACTCCATATTTTCGAACTCCTAAGGCCTAGAGGCGATTTTATCCCCACAAATTCATCCCCAAAGTGTTGGTAATCAATTCTAAACTTTACTCTTTCAATTACCCAGTATTTTTCATCAATTTTAATCAAAAATCAAGAGTTTTCATCGTAGAAATTAGGAATTTGGGTAGAGTTAAGGCTTTTTGAATAATTGAGATTTAGACCTCGTTTTGGGGTTGGATTTCGAAACTAATTGCATATTTGGGCTTATGGGTGAATGTGTGATCGGGTTTTGGTCCGAACCTCGAGTTTTGACCAAGCGGGCCTGGGGTCGATTTTTGACTTTTTGGGGAAATTGGTAGAAAATCTGTAATTAAGCATTGGGTATGAATTCTTTAGTATTTATTGATGTTGTTAAATTAATTTGGGCTAGATACAAGTAATTTGGAGGCTAATTCTAAAGGAAAAGTGGTGTTTAAGGCTTGAGTTGGCCGTGAAAGTTTGAGGTAAGTGTTTGGTCTAACCTTAGCTTGAGGGATCAAGAGTTGTGTCTTATTTGCTATGTGTTAATTGTAGAGTACGACGTATAGGCGTGGTGACGAGTATCTATACGTCGGTGTCAAGCATGTCCGTTGATTATCATTGTGGTTCCCTTGCCGGGATTTATGGTTTATAATATTGTCTCCCTTGCCGGGATGTTATTGTTATGACATTGTCTCCCTTGCCGGGATGTTATTGTTTACGATATTGTCTCCCTTGCCGGGGTATTATTGTGTACTTTTATGCCCTTTCCAGGATTCTTTTGTGATTGAGGTTGATTTGTAAATGGGAGCGGGTGGCATGCCGCCACGGTGACATATGAAATGCGAGCGGGTTGCACCCCTGCAACGAGATATATGAAATGGGAGTGGGTTGCACGCCTGCAACGAGATATATGAAATGGGATCGGGTTGCACACCTGCAACAAGATATATGAAATGGGATTTGGTGGCACGCCACCATGGTATTATTTGAAATGGGATCGGGTTGCACGCCTGCAACAAGAAAGAGATGAAAGTGAATACTGTGTTTGTTTTTCTTACTCTGTTAGTAATTGAGTTTTAGTTTCTTTGCATTCCTCTCTGGTATTCTATTGTTATCCGATACTCCCAGCATGTTATTCCCCATATCTTTACTGTGATTATCTGCTTTTATTTTCTGCGGTATAGGATTTAACTGCACAGGTTTATTTGGTAGTTTAGTCCTAGCCTCGTCACTACTTCGCTGAGGTTAGGCTAGACACTTACTAGCACATGGGGTCTTTGTGCTGATACTACACTCTGCACTGTGTGCAGATACTAGTACCGAAGCGTTTGGACCGTAGTGAGGCTACTGCCTTCAATCCAACAGGCGACCCGAGGTAGTCATGCAGGTGTCCGCGGGCCTTGGCTTCTCCTTCTATTCTTTTTTTGTTTTTACTTATTAAGAGACAGATTCATGTATTTCTATGCAGACGTTATTTGTAGTAATCTTAGACAGTCTATGAAATTGTGACACCAAATTCTGGGTAGAGTTGTATTTAGACTTTCGCAGTTTGTATTAAGTTAGATTAATAGATTTCGTCTTCCGCTTTGTTATTGATATTATTATTTCCGTTGTTTTGATATGTTGTTTTGAAATTATAAAGACTTAAAGACTTGAAAAGGACAATTAAAACGGAATAGTTAGCTTGCCTAGCTTTCACTAGTAGGCGCCATCACAACCCCCGAGGGTGGGAAATCCGGGTTGTGACAAGTTGATATCAGAGCTCTACGTTACTTAGGTCTCACAATTCACGGACAAGCTTAGTAGAGTCTGAGGGATCAGTACAGAGACATCTGTATTTATCCCAGAGGTTACAGAGTTAGGAAAAACTTCACATCTATTCTTTCCTGTCGTGCGGTTTGGTTTCTCAATGCTAATTGAATTTCTACTCTACTCTTTCGCAGATGGCAAGAACACGCGCTTCCTCATCCACTGATTAGCAGCCTAAGCCCCCAGCAGCAGCTCCCACGAGGAGCAGAGGGTGAGGCCGAGGCCGTGATAGAGGCCGAGGTATGGGCAGAGCTCAGCACAGAGCAACAGCACCAGCGGCAGAGCCTCAACTTGAGTTTGATGATGAGGTTCCAGCCCAGGCAGTTCCGGTGGGCCCAGATCAAGTCCCAGAGGGGTTCATTGCTACTCCGGTACCCCAAGATTCTCTGGTCCATCTAGTGGGCCTTATGGAGAGTGTCACCCGGGCAGGCTTGCTTCCTGTAGCACCAGCCGTCTCTCAGGCTGGAGGAGGAGCCCAGACTCCTGCTACCCGCACTCTAGAGCAGATGGCTCCCTAGTTTTAGACTCTAGTAGCTCAACCAATT